AACCCCAGCAGTTTGCAGGCGGGACTTTATTTCCTGCTGCTCCTGTGGGTAAGTATTGTACAGTGTGGTGTGTGTACCTTGTGTGCTACCGTGATGCTGGGAGCGAGGAAGAAAGGCCTGATGATCTATTTCTGAGACTGGATCGCAGCAGGACTTTGTCTGATGTGGCTCCTCGGTTTGGAAGCCCTGCACAGTGGCCACCACCAAGGGCACAAGCAGACCCATGATTGTGAAGATGGCACAAAACTGGGCAATGCCTGTTTGTTATACGTAAGGTCTCCAGGCACCAAAAACACACCCAGTACTATGAAGTGGACTCTGACTCACAGAGGCCCTATAGGAACACAGCAGCGCTGCTTCTTAAGGTTTCCGAGACTGTAAATCCCTAGAGGAGCACACAGCCTCATCTGTCTTCTGAAGAGAGACTGGCTGTGTGGCAGGTGGTGTAGATTGCTTTATGCCAAAGACGAGACTCTTAAGATTTTTTTTTTCTTCAGTGACACTTTGGCACACCAGATCTTTGGTAAGTCACACTGCATGGAAGGAGCTCAGGTAGCATACTTGGTACAAATTGGGCTGCTAACCTCAAGGTCAGCAGTTCGAAACTACCAGCTGTTCTGCAGGAGAAAGATGAGGCTTTCTGCTCCCATAAAGATTTACAGCCTCGGAAACCCTGTACAGGGTTGCTATGAGTCGGAACTGACTCCACGGCACATCACATTACATGGAGCTGGAACAAGTTGATATTGCAAAGACATTTTTGGAAAGCCTAGTGGGGGAACTACTGTTTCTACTCATTTTGTGATTTTATTGGAGTCTTTCTGTACTGGGGATCATGTGGGTGTCCTTGGTGTAGTCTCCACAGGGAACAGTTTACAGCTTTTGGGGAGACTGTTTAGAGAAGATTACTCTTCTGTGTCCCTTTTATGACTTTTTGGATGACTAATTGCTCAGGAACATTTAAATTTGTATTTATAAAATTATAAGTATATTCAAAATAGGAGGGATACCAGAGGGTATAAAAGATGTGTGAGTAAGTTCAAGATGGTGAGAAATAGAATATAATCATAGTCCTATTCCCAGGTGATGTCATAAGCCTCTCAGTCCGGATAAAAGGTACTGTTGTTGTTAAGTGTTGTTGAGTAGGTTCTGACTCATAACGACCCTGTGTAGGGTTTCCCAGGAGCGCCTGGTGGGTTTGAACAGCCAACCTTGTGGATTGCAGTCCAGTGTTTACCCTACTCCTTCCTTAATGCACAATGATTTGCGCTCAAGGTCAAGGCCTCCTGCCTCAGCACTTCCCTGTAACCTTTAGTAACCTCTACTACCCTGACCTTGGGCTCCTGGTGTAGTGCTGTAGGATCAGCACTGGACTGTGAACCGCACCAATAGGTCTGTTTTGGAAGAAGTGCAGCCAGAGTGCTCCTTGGAGGCCAAGATGGCTAAGCTCCGTCTCTCATACTTTGGACATATTGTCTGGAGGGAACAGTCGCTGGAGAAGGATGTCATTGCTGGGTAAGGTGGACGGTCAGAGAAAAAGAGGAGGACCCCTAACGAGGTGGATTGGCCAGGTGGCATCATTGATGGACTCAAGTGTGTCAGCGGTAGTGAGGTTGGCCCAGGATCAAGCAGTGTTTCGTTCTGCTGTGCATGGGGTCGCTATGAGTCGGTTCTGACTCGATGGCACCTGACAACAACAACAACTACCCTGACCTTGGGCTCTTGGTGTGGTGCTGTAGGATCAGCACTGGACTGTGAACCGCAGGGTCAGCAGTTCAAACCCAGCAGCTGCTCCTTGGGGACCCTTTACAGAGTCGCTACGGGTCAGAACCAACTTGATGGTACTTAACAACGACAACCTACCCTGAAGTAAAAGTTTATTGTTATAACTCACTATACTCAGAAATTCTTATGGTAGAAAGAACATCAACTCATTTTCACCAGTCCTTGACACCCAAAAAAGAACAGATGAGGGAGCTTTAAAAATTTCATGGAAAAATGGAATAAAATGATAACGGAAGTTTTCCATGAACTTTTTGACGCCTCCTTGATACACACTTAATTCTATTTGCTTTTTTTGTTTAAGGTCCCTGGTGGCACAAGCAGTTTGTGCTCAACAGCTAACTTAGAGATGAGCATCTCGAGCCCCCCAGCGACACCATGGAAGAAAGTCCTGGTGATCTGCTTTGGTAAAGAGCACACAGCCAAGAAAGCCCCGTGGGACAGTCCTACCTGTAACACGTGGGGCTGCCGTGGGTGGTCACTGACTCCATAGCAACAGGTTTTGGGTTTTGTTTGTTTGTTATTAGCTGAACAGAGAGATGCCTAACATTTGCTGAGTGCCTACTTTATACAGGCTTGTGAATATATCATGTCGTTGAATCTCCCGCACCTGTGAGCGACAAGCACTGACATTTCAGTTTATTTATTTATTTTTAAGGAGAAAAATAAAATATCTATTGAGGCGTACACTGTGCACTCCAAAAAGTACACAAGGCTGACACTGATTAAGTGCGCCTTCGCTGCACAGAGAGATGCTGAGGTTGGAGTGTGCGGGATATTGATCATGTGATGAATCCCATCATGTGTCCTTGTGTTGCTGCAGTTGCTTGCAACACGGATGGCAGAGAGAATTGAAAATAACCCTTGGGAATTTATAGGCTAGATTGCATGCAAAATGGGGCAGGTGTATGAGCTGAATGAATGGTGAGTTTGCCTCAGCCATTCATAAACATGTGTGCTGCGTGATGACTTCAGCTATTTGCAACCAGGAGTATGTCTATGTTGTTGTTGTTAGGTGCCATTGAGTTGGTATCAGTTCATAGTGACCCTGTGTACAACAGAAGGAAACACTGCCTGGTCCTGAGTCAACTTCACAATTGTTGCCATGCTTGAGTCCATTGATGCTGCCACTTGACCAATCCATCTCGTTGGGGGTCTTCCTCTTTTTCTCTGACCCTCCACCTTACCAAACATGATATCCTTCTCCAGCGACTGGTCCCTCCTGACAATATGTCCGAACTATGAAAGACGAAGTTTGGCCATCCTGGCCTCCAAGGAGCACTCTGGATGCACTTCTTCCAACGCAGATCTGTTGGTTCTTTTGGCAGCCCATGGCACTTTTAATATTCTCCTCCAACACCATAACTCAAAAGCATCAATTCTTCTATGGTCTTCTTTATTCACAGTATGTCTGTAGTATGCAATTATTAAGAATGCCAATGCAAAGCCAGGGGCTTCAGTTCAACTTTCAGACTAGCTATTTTATTTGGTGTTGGACTGGGTACCATTTTGTTTAAAATCTCAATGCACAGTGGTACTCACTAGGAGTTTCCCCAGTATTAGCATTCAAGTGTATACAATAACATTACTTGAAGTAAATCAGAGAAACATATGTAGGACAAGCACTGGACCATAAGGTCAGCAGTTCAAACTGACCAGTCACTCATTGGAAATGCTATACAGGGTTGTTATGAGTTGGAACGGACTCAATGGCACTTGACAACAGCAACACCACGCTGAAGGTAAAAAGTGTATTGTTATAACTCACTCTACGTAACACTGGTGTGGCACTGTGGGTTAATGCGTTAGACTACAAAGCCGTTTGAACTGCAAGGTCAGCGGTTCAAGCTTACCAGCTGCTCCTCGGAAAACCTATACAGGGTTGCTATCGGCCGGAACCCAACTCGACAGCACTTAACAACAACAACTTAACACTGAACAACAACAACAAATCATTTCAAAGCTTCTTTGTAAATGAGTACCATATAGACTATTTTAAATTGACTTTTTCAGTGTTATCATCACATGTGATCTCTTGCTCAACATTGAGTTTTCATTTTAAAGATGTTGTTATTGCCAGCTGCCTTCATATGGGCTCCTGACACGTGGTGACCCCATGTAAAAGGACAGAGTGGGACCCAGTCCTGCACCACCCTCCCTTCTGTGATGGACGAGGCTGTCACTGTTTGAGAGCTGGAAGTAGAAAGCCAGGCCTTTCTTCTTAGTCTGAGTCTGTACACTCCTCTGGAACCCGTTCAGTGTCATATCCACGTTTCCACTGACAGATGTGTGGTGGGGTTTGAGAGTCGTTGGAATCCAGGTCTCTCAGGAGACTGAGAATTATGCCATGGAGCCTTCAATACCTCGTTCTCTTTTTTTCTGAATTTTAATTTATTTTGTTGTTTATCCCATTTTATTGATGAAGAGACTGGGGCCCAGAGGATGAAGACACTTGTCCGTCTTCACAGTTAGAGTGGACTGGGCTCTCATGCAAATCCAGTCAGGTTGACTCACAGATGCTGAGCAGAATGCGCCGGGGAGCAGTGACCATCCTCAACACCACACGATCAGGGCAAGAGTCAGGGACAAGATGGTTGTGCAGACAGGGGTTGACAGTGCCTCATTTAACATTTTGATTGTTTTGTTCATTATGGATCGTTTTAATTAATTTTGGCTTTAAACATTATTATGGAATCCTAAACCCACTGCCATCGAGTGATTCTGACTCACAGTGACACTCTAGGATAGACGAGAACTGGTCCATATGGCTTATGAGGCTGTAAATCTTTATGGGAACAGATTGCCACAGCTTTTAGAGCAGCTGGCGGGTTTGAACCATTGACCTTTCAGGTAGCATCCGGGAGTTTAGCCACTACACTACCAGGGCCCTAAAAAGCTTGCATTGCAACATTAGTGATCTTGATTGCTGAGTTTCTCTGTTCCAGGAAAGATGTAATCATCTCGTTTGACGGGTAAAGACCACAACGGTCCTTAGTGTGGTCAGTAACTTGCCTGAGGTCCCACGACTGGTCCCATGACTGGTCTCCTGTGAGAAGCCTGGAGTCTGGGCAGAAGCAACGTCCTCCTTGTCCTCTCAGACAGGAAGAAGGGAACCTACCTTAGCGCCAGCTGCCTGGGTCAGGTATACCCCAGTGAGAGTTTGGGCTGACCCTTGGCCTCTCACCTGTGTTCTCATGATGAGTCTTCTCTCCTTCCAGGTCAGGAAAGAGGTTAAAGAAGACCCGGAAGTATGACATCATCACCACGCCAGCAGAGAGGGTGGAAATGGCTCCGCTGAATGAAGAGGATGATGATGATGAGGACTCCACAGTGTTTGACATCAAGTACAGGTATGGGATGACCCACCTTTGCACACCTGCCTGGCCAGGTGTGGTGTCCTTCTTGTGTTTTGGTTCTTTGGCTAAGTGCTTGGTCTTGTGGGGCTCTGCATATGATCTGTTTTGAACCCCTCCTGGAAATGCATTGCAAAGCACCTGAATGCAGCCGAGAGATACTTGTTCTTGACTCTCCCCAGTCTGACAGTGCCGAGAGGAAAAGCATTTTAGACAATGAGCTTGTTGTACACGGTCTGTGAGGGAATCTGATCCAAGTGATCACATGCCTGTCACGTACTGTGCACAGAAGTCAACAGCTGAGGGCCTATGGGAGATTTCTGCTTGAAGTGAAAATTACCAATGGGCTCCAAAGACTTGTGTTTTCCAAAGTTAGATGCTGGAAAAGGCAGAGTGACTTTGTGTTTCAAGATTGTAGTTGCAGAGTTTTGGATTTTTGGGGATGTACTTTGAATATTGTGCAGTATAAGGTCTGGGTGAATGTAGTATAAAGATGAGGTCGTGAAGACTCAGAGCAGGAACACGGTTGTCTGGGGTCTCAGTTGGTTCCTAGCAACCCACCCGAACCTAATGCCACTGAGTTCAGTGTGACTCATGGTGACCCCATGTGCCACAGAGTGGAACTCTCCACTGGGTTTTCTTGATGGTGATCTTTAGAGCACAGATCACCAGGCCTTTGTTTTGCGGTGCCGCTGCCAAATTTATGATAAGCACTGACTGTGAACCGCAAGATCCACCGTTCAAACCCACTAGTTGCTTCACGGGGAATAGATGAAGCTTTCTGCTACCACAAAGATTTAAAGCTTTGGAATCCACATATAGGGTCTCAGTGAGTTGGCACCGACTTGACAACACTTAACAACAACAGCAACAACAGTGGAGCACAAACTATGTATTTGTGTCAAGCAGAGACCTTAGTTAGTAGGAAAGATGGACCAAAATTCAAGCTGCTCCAAACCCTGAGCTTTCCCCACCATCTCACTGCCTGTCCGTTTTTGGTAAGGCAAGCCTTCCTTCCTCTCCCTTTTTGATTTCTTCTGCAGCACAGCTTTGGTTAGATTTTTGGTCTTATTCTTTTCTATACAAATCAACTCAACAAAACAACTTTTGGAATTGTAACTAGAACTTCTGTGATTCTGTAGATCAATTTAGGGAAAAATCAACGCTGTTATTACCCCTGGGTGGTGCAGATGGTTTGTATTTGGCTACTAAGCAAATGCTTCGTGGCTTGAGCCCACCCAGAGATGACTTTGATGTTGGCTCTTCCAGTCCATGAACATGGAATGAGTTTTCATCTAGTTAGTATTGTAAAAATGTCTTTCAGGATTTTAAAGCATTTCTCCATAAATGTTTATAAATTTTTGTTAGACATATTGATAGGTGTTGCATATCTTTTTCAAAATAAAAAAAGCTTATCTGGTAATCTTGATCGCTATGGTCTGCTTTCGCCATTTGACAGCCGAGTTTACTGTAAGGTTTTGTTAGATTTCTTGTTTTCCAGGAAGCTACTTCTTCATACTGTGCTACAGGCTTCATTTTGTTTTTTAAGTCATGTTTGTTGCTGTCAACTCATGGCAACCTTCTGCATAACAGAATGAGAAGTAGCCCTGCCTCTCGTCAGCCTCGTGATGGTTATAGTGGTGAAGTCCTTCATTGAGGTTTTGTGTCTGTTTCATTGAGGATTCCTTGTTGTCACTGACTCACATATAACAACAAGAAAGTGGTCTTTCTCGGTGACCTATCCACAGCGAGTCCAAGTCTTGCCAGCTTTGTTTCTGAGAAGCGTTTTGGTTATATGAATTTCTTCTTAGACGGATTTGTTCATTCTTTCGGGAGTCCTTGGTATATTCATGAGTGGATGTCAACTTTCATTAAGGGTTTTTGTAGTTGTATTGAGAAGGTCATATATATTTTTGATCTTTTAAAGTGATAAATTTAGATTCCTTGATCTTTTAATGTTATACCAACTTTGTATTCCTGGGATAGACTGGGTGCAGCCGTGTTACTTTTTAAAACCCATTGTTACATTCAGTTTGCTAATTTTTTTTAAGGTCTTTCCTGCCTCCCATAATGACTAAAGTTGGCCTGTCACTTCCCCAGTTTCTAATATTCTTTTCAACCTTTGAGAATAGTTTTATTAGCTTTATAAATTGAATTGGATGTGTCTTTCATTTCCCTTTTCTCTGGAATAGTTCTCATTCGATTGAAATGATTTGATCTTTAGAACTTGTTAAAACCGACTGGTCCTGATACTTTCCTTATCTGAAAATCTTTTATAACTTCTTTTAACCGTTGTAGGACTATTTGGACTTTATTTCCTCTAGGATCAATTTCTTTTTAGGATCAGTTTTGATAGCTTATATTTTTCTAGGCTTTTGTCTATTTCATCAAGTTTTCAACTATATTGGTCTAGGGTTGTTGATCACATTATATGTTTTTAATCTTTGCAACATAGTCATAGCCCCCTTGTTGCTTTTATTTTTTTAAGTGATATTTTCATTTATTTTACTTTTAGTATTAATTTTTTTCTGTCTCATACATGATTGAACACATATTTTGCTTTAGAATGAACCATTACAATTGCAGAAATGATGGTTTTATTTTTCCAATCAAATGACCAGGGTACTTACTGAACCTTAGGCTTCAGCAAATGTTGCTTCTTCTTAGTCTCGTTGGACAAGACCTTCCGTCTGATTATTCCTGCTCCACAACAGCCTTGGTTTTCCAGTGGTGTCTATTTGCTAAACAGTTGTGACAGACTGTCTAACTTGGTGACTTTTGCTTTCAGGGGATTCTTTCAAATGAACCTGTATTTTTAGTGCAACACCCACTGTCAAATATCATGTCAAAGGCCCAGCCATAAGGACTTCTCGATCATGATTGGATAAAGGCCCAGTCATAAGGACTTCTCGATCATGATTGGACAAAGGCCTAGCCATAAGGACTTCTCGATCATGATTGGACAAAGGCCTAGCCATAAGGACTTCTCGATCATTGGACAAGGAGTCCTGCTTTGGCTGCGAGAGCTCCATTGTGCGGAATATCATATTCCAGAAACATCATGGATTTTCCTTATTTCATCTTTAACTATTTCTGTGCTGAATGGTCTCTTCAGGCACCGGCTCTCCTGTGGTGGCTGCCATGTGTTTAACAGAATGAGTCCTGTATCATCCTCAGGGTGGTTGGAATGGTTGAATCCACTGCTGTGGTTTTGTGTCTGCCTGTTTCTATTAGGTTTGCCTTGTTTTCACTGACCCTCTACTTTGCCAACCATGATGCTCTTCTCTAGCAACTGGTTTACCTGATGACTTGTCAAAAAAGCAGTTTCTGTAACTTGATTGTAGGATCTAAGAAATTCCTAAAACTGTTTAGCTGGTCAGATTCTGATATTTGTGCTGCCAGGTTCTTTCGGTATGGTTATTTGTCACCTTTTCTGATCCTTGAGTTTTTTTTTTCCCCCCTGTTCTGGAATAGTAGTTCTCCACTCTTTTCTTGAATGTATCCGGGGAGGGAGGCCTGAGTTCTGACTTAAGTCCAGGCTGTAACCTTTGCATGGGAGACAGTCTCATCACTTCCAGATTTGGGCTTCTTTGATCCTTGTTATTTTTATTTTCAGTTTTATTGATTTCTTCTTCTTCCCCTTGTTTCTAACTTCTTATTTTGATGCTTTTAGGAGCTCTGATAGTGTAGTGGTTACGAGTCAGGCTGTGAACCGCAAGGTCAGCAGTTGGAAACTACCAGCTGTTCCACAGGAGAAAGATGAGGCTTTCTGCTCCCGTAAAGATTTACAGCTTCGGAAACCCTGTATAGGGTCACTATGAGTCGGAACCGACTCCACGGCACATAACCACCACCACTGCCACCTAGTGTTATACATACTACAAAATGGCAGGGAAAACGTGTCTGACTTCCTCTGGCTTCACAAGAGAGAAGGAGAATCAAACTCAAAACCGGCCCAACACCGATTCCTATGAGGTGGAAGTCAGACGTGCAACAACCTTGTTTCCTGTATTCTGACACCAGCCACCCCTCCCACATCATGCTCTGCTTCACATTGGACTTGATGATCCGTTTCAGTGACCATGCACAACTCATCAACAATACTCGACTTTAGATCAGATACAACTCCGAATGCGGCAGTTCTCTAGTCTGTTTGCTGTATCTTGGGTGGGCCGTTCAGCTGTGTGGGCCCCTCAGCCTCTGTCCTGTGGGGGGCAAGTGTTACAAAGCCCGGTAACCAGTCTGTAAATGCCCAAAGGGCACATTATGCAAGGCAGCCTCCTACCTGGAGGAACTCATCTTTACTCCGGCCGGGAAGCCTGCAACTGCTCTGTCTCTCCCTGTTGCTGCCTCTGTTGCCGTTACTTCTACGGCTTTCTTCCTGGTTCCTGGTTCCTGCTTCTGAGCAGGATGGCAAACCTAGTGCAATGTCAAAATGAACCATTCCCAGCGTTAGAGTCCTGTGCACCCTATTTGTATGCCCAATCATTTGGTGGGGAATTGCAAAGTTGCAGTTCAATCTCACCAGCTGCTCCTCAGGAACCCTATACAGGGTTGTTATGAGTCAGAACCAACTCGACAGCAGTTAACATCAACAACAAGATTTGGGATAGAAAAGACATATCAAGTAAATTCATGGTACCCCCTGCTTTTAGTGTTTTCCCCCCATCTGAACAAGATATCTAGAATAACTTTTCAGTTCAACACGTATGAAAAGTTAAGGCAATTTTACGTTCAGATTAACGTTCATTAGAAGTTCCCTCTCTGCGTAGTAATGATATGCTTGCAGATACTAGTATTTATCATTTAGATACAGTTCATCTGTATGTTTTGGTTTCCTCTCGGAAACAGACTGTGTTTGAATTGGATGCAGTTGAACCATGACCTGGGGTTATTTCGTTTGAGTGGAAAGAGGAAAATCATGCTTTTGGCACCAGGGCAATAGCTTACCTGTTATTCTCACATCTGCAAATCTCTAATAACATCTTGTGAGTTCAAGCCTGTACATATCAGCCAGGCTATTTTTCCAGAAGTTTCCAACCAGGTAGGACATTTAGCAGAAAGAGAGGGCAGGCAGGTCAGTGTTTCTGCTGACAGCCTTCTGTTTGTATTCCCGTCCACTGGGATGTTTTCATATCCATGAGACCAACCTTCTAGTGTTTAGGACCAGATGTGAATTAAAAGAAAGAAAAACAAAACAAAACAGAAAAAAAGCAATAGAAGTGAGTTTCCAACTCTGTACTTAAAAAGGCTATTTAGAAGGGACAAATGATGACTAAGTGGAATACAGAGAACCCTGGGGTTTTGAAATGGTTCCAGTTTGCAGAAGATATTTGAATTTCTCTTGTGTTTGTTGTGAGCTTGGTTGGCCTAGCTTGCTGCTTACGGCTGATGTTTTGGGTCTCAATGTATCCCCAGTTTATTACGGGGGACTTTTGTTACACCCTGTGGGTTTTCCCCAAGGCGAAGCAGATGCCTGCACTTCTGTTTACTTGGAGGGTGGTACCAGCATCGGTGACAAGCGTGGCCCAAAGGGACTCTGCCAGAGAACAACTGTTTCCGCCGGCCCCGCAGGGAAAAATGGTTCTATTCCTGGCTTCTTAGGTTTGGAGCAGATGTGTCTCTGTGATGGTGCAGACATGCAGGCTAGAGAAGCTTGCCTCCCACCCTCTGTGGATAGAGCGTCCTGGGGGAATAGAAACAGAAACCTGTGAGATCTCTGCCACAACACAAGGGGCTGTGCCTGGCCTCCTGTCTTTGGAACAAGGGGCATTCTGTGGCTGTTTGCAGCGAGGCCTCTGGAGGGTAGACTGGGAATAGGAGAAAACAGACCTCGCTTGCTTGCTTATCCTAGGCTCAGGCCCTAGTCAGAGTCCCCCATGAGAACCCTAGGGCAGTTGCAAAACACAGGGCACTGGGGACATTGATGGTGGTAGAATTCTTGCTTTCCATGAAGGAGATCTGGGTTCAAATCCTGGATAATGGACTTCATGGTCGCTAACATTCTTCTGTTAGCAGAAGCTTGCATGTGGCTCTGCTTGCTGCTGAATAGGTTTCAGTGGCACTTCCAGACTAAGATGGACTAGAAGACAGGCTTGGTGATCTCCTTCTGAAAACCATCCGGTGAAAACCTTATTGATTACAGCGGCCCACCTACAACACCATCCACAGTGAGGATGGTGCGGGACTGAGCGGTGTTTTGTTCCTTTGGGTCTGGACCAACTCAACAGCAGCTAATGGCAACAGCAAACACAGGGTGGTAATTTCTTGCTTTTCTTTTCACTAAGGACCCACGAATGGTCAGGCTAGGAAGGTCCTGTTGTCCCCCTCCCCCATTCTTCATGCAGTTTCTGAGTAGTTTAATTGTTAGGAGCATCAGAGTGTGGCCTGTTGCCTGGGCAGTGGACGGCGAACATTGGGCATCATGAGCTCCTGAGGACTGGAAGGAATCAGAGAGGAGCTGATGGCTAGCCAGATGCCAGGGTGTGCAGTACGCTCCCAGGGCAGAAGAAAGGTCTGCCCACTTTCCTCCTTGTAGAAGGCCCAGCTTCTGTGCTAACAGGCCCTTCTCTGACCACATTATCGGCTCTTTGGGAAGCACTGTCGGCAATATTGGACACCTGTCAGTTAAGGTCTCACAGTTGTCGAGTGTCACCAAGTCTTAGCGACCCCATGTGACAAAGTAGAACTGCCCTTAGAGGATTTTCTAGGCTGTCATGTTTCTGGGGCAGATTGCCACATCTTTTCTCCCTCAACCAGGGGAATGGGTTCAAACTGCCAACCTTTCAGTCAGTAGCCTAGCACTTAACTGTTGTACCACCAGTTTCCTCTGTAAAGGTTTCCCAGCCAAGAACCCCCTAGGGAGCAATGCCTGGGGTAGCCATGAATCAGAACAGATTCAATGGCAATGGTTCTGGCTCTTTACAAAAAGTTTGCTGATTCCAAGTGTGAGAGCTAGGGCGTGAGTCAGGAGCGGAGGGAAGGAGAAATGAGCTAGGGCGGTGGGCAGCATGCACAAAGGTCCTGAGGCTGGGGCGGTGGAATGACTTTTGTGGTTGGAACAGAGATGGATAAGAAGGTGGTTATGGAGACGCGGCAGTGCTGTGTCTCTACAGTGTGGCCAAGGGACAGAGACCTAAGGAGGGGCCAGAATGGGCATGGGGCTTTGCCAGAGGCACTGACTCTTTTTGTGTTTTCTTTTCTTTTAGGTAAAACTTGTTTCTTCTGGAAAGCTGGCCAGCCCCAGCCTGGGTGTAAAGACCTGGAAACTATTTCACCTGTCCGAGGTGTTGAGACCAAATCAAGTTTTATTTATAAAACTCTGGCACTGTTGTGCATACAAACTTCTGCTCAGAATGTGAGCGTTGGGCATCTTGTTCCAAATCTACACCTCTCTGAAGAAATTCTTCCTTGTTAGGGGATGAAAGGCAGAAACAATTTACTTTTTTGTTTTTGTTTTTTAAGTAAACAACTGTTGACAAGATCAAAACAGAACGGAAGAATCAAGGATCATTAAAGTATGTTGGATGTTCAGCTGTGTACTTAGGACTGCATTCTGGTCTCCTGGATCTGGGTTCTGGATGCTGATCCTGTGCTGGCTTGTTGGCTTCGTCAAATACTGTCCTTATTTTCATGATAGCCATATGAAATTTCAAAGTGGGAGTACCCAGAGCTGGTCAGCTCCTACCAGAAGTATGCACATGTTTGTAGCTCCTTTTCTTTTCTTTTAAAAAAGGTTTAGCAGAATGAGGCTTGATTAGTTCACAGAATGCAAGCCACTACAGTAAGATAAACTTACAGTGTGTCAGGGTTGTATTTTTTCACGATACTAATTCAATCTGGAGGCTAAGCAAATAATACGAGAAGCTGGGTTCTAGGTAGGAAAACGTGGCATACGGGTTGAAGGAAGACTCATTATCAACCTGAGCTATGTAGATGACGCATCTTGTTTCCTGAAAGTGAAGAGGACTTGAAGCATTTACTGATGAAGATGAAAGGCTCTATAACCTTTAGTATGGATTATACCTCAGTATAAAGAAAACAAAAATCCTTATAGCTCCACCAATCAGCAACCTCATGATAAATAGAGAAAATATTGAAATTGTCAAAGATTTCATTTTACTTGGATCCACAATCAACACCCATAGAAGCAGCAGTCAGGAAATGAAGTGATGTGTTGCGTTGGGCAAATCTGATGCAAAAGCTCTATTTAAAGCATTAAGAAGCAAAGATGTCACTCCAAAGACTAAGGTGCATTTGACCCAAGCCATAGTATTGTCAATCACCTCACATGCACAGGGAAGCTGAATAAGGAAGACCAAAGAAGAACTGGTGCCTTTGAATGCTAGTGTTGATGAAGAATATGAAATGTACCCTGGACTGGCTGAAGAATGAACAAATCTATGTTGGAAGGAAGGAGTGTAGCCAGAATGCCCCTTATAGCAAGGATGGTGACACTTGATCTCATGTACTTTGGACAGGACACCAGAACAGACCAGTTCCTGGAGAAAGACATCATGTTTGGTAAAGCAGAGGGTCAATGAAAAAGAGGAGGACCGTCAACGAGCTGGATCTACACAGGGCTGCGGCAGTGAGCTCATTGTGAGCAGGACTGTCTTGCTCTTTGTATATGAATTGTGTAAGCTGGCCCCAGCTTGATGGCACCTAACAGCAGTAATGGTTCACAGAGACTTCTGAGTATCGGGGGAAATGTGTGTGTGTGGATACAAGCACATATGCATAGGTGTGTTGTTTGTGTGTTTATGTGTGGATATGCTTCTGGGTGTATGTGTGTGTGCATATGAGCGTGTATGAATGTGTGTGTTTGTGTGTATGCATGTACATGATTCTGGGTGCATATATGTGTGGATATGAGCGTGTATGCGCACGTGTGTTTATGTGTATGCATGTACATGATTCTGGGTGCATGTGTATGTGGATATGAGTGTGTATGCATGTGTGTGTTTGTGTGTATGCATGTACATGATTCTGGGTGCATGTGTGTGCGCATATGAGCGTGTATGCATGTGTGTGTGTGCACGATTTTGGATGTGTGTGTGTGTGGATATGAGCTCATATGCATGTGTGTGTTTGTATGTATGTGTATGATTCTATGTATATGTGTGTTTGGATATAAGTGTGTATACATGTGTTTGTATGTATGTGTATGATTCTGGGTGCATGTGTGTGCACATATGAGTGTGTATGCATGCATGTGTGTGTATGTGCACGATTCTGGGTGTATGTGTGTGTAGATATGAGCTCATGTGCGTGTGTGTGTATGTATGTGTATGATTCTACGTATATATGTGTGTGGCTATAAGTGTGTATACATGTGTTTGTATGTATGTATGTGTATGATTCTGGGTATATGTTTGTGTGTGGAAATGAGCGCATATGTGTGTTTGCATGTATGTATGTATGTATGTGTATGATTCTAGGTGTATGTGTGTGTGGACATGAGCATGTATGCATATGTGTGTTTGTATCTATGTATATGTATGATACACAGACAGAATGTATATACATGCATATCCATCTATACATATACTTCTGCTTTGAAAGGAAAGCACTCGATAGATTTTGGTTACTAACATTCTTTGTGCTTTTTTTGTCTTTTTCTGCCCTAGTCCAGTTCTACAATGTTTGTCTTAGAACTGCAACTTTAAGAAATTATAGTGATAATTTAAATGCATGGGGATTTGGCTGGCTGGAACAAGCAAGCCTATGGTCAAGGACTTATTTTAAGTTGGTGTGGTCCAGGTCAGACTTGACCCTCTAGGTGTGTCCTTCCGTAGGTGTGGGTTGAGGCTCAGGTGGGTGGCTTTGTGAGGAGTTAGGGAAGTGAGGACTCACCTGTGACAGTATCTGGAGGTATGCTGGCTTCTGGAACATTACTGGGAGCCCTGGGCTGGCCTCTCAGGTAGATGGAGGCTGCCCTTTCTGAAGTTATTTGCTGTAATGAGCAGACTTCTGTTTAAAGTCTATCAGCAGCACTTTTTCAAGCCGCAGGAGTGTCTGTTCTCTCTGAAGAGGTAGTTTTGTTTTTATTTAGTTTCTCTTTTAGTTTAAAAAGCTGCTCCAGGGTTTGTATGTTGTAGTTAAGTGCCATCGAATCGGTTCCACCTCAGCGGCCCTGTGTAGGGTTTCTGAGGAGCAGTTGGTGGGCTTGACCTGCTCACCTGGTGCCTAGCAAGTGTGTATCGCCCTGCTCCATGGCTTTGGGTGAAAAGCTCTTACTTTCAGCTTTGTCCATTTCCTGACCGAATGTGGGGAGTGGTCGTCAGTGTTGTGGGGTCCCCTTCACTGCTCCTGTAACTCACTTTCTTGTTGACTCCGTCCCCCACTTTCTCCTCCTGTTTGCCAGAAGGGCAGGGCTGGAAGAAATGGCTGTGCTGCTTTAGCTCTCCCCTCCACAGTGCACTTGCTGGCTGGCCCCATGATGCTGAGAGGACCGCTGGCCACGTACTGTCTGAGCACCCTCTAAGCCCTCCAATGGGAGCACTCGTTTGCCTGACTGTTTTCATCAGCCGCAGTGGAATCATTGGCGGATAAGCTGGATGCTTCTGCCTTCCGGAGAAGACTCCATCTGCTACGTGTTGGTCATTACTGTCCTGTCAGAAGTCCCTAAGAGTGGCCTTCCACATCCTTAGTGGAACTTCAGCATTAAAGGCTACTAAATAAAAACCCTTTAGACCTGGACGTTGTATGCATTTATTTGGTTTGGACCTTTTCTGAGATAGGGGCCAGAGAGACGCCCTTCAGGGACTGGTAAGTGTCTTAGACTAGGTTCTCTAGAGAAGCAAACAGATGTGGTGTGTCGTTGTTATTGTTAGTGACGTCTTAGTCGCTTCTGACTCACAGTGACCCTGTATAGAGTCTCCGGAGCTGTACATCTGTGCGAGAGCAGGAAGTCCTATCCTTCTCTGGAGTTGCACGTGGGCTCCAACAGTTGACTTTTGATTCACATTCCAGTGATTATCCTGCAGAGCCACCATGCTCCATATACACACACACATACACACAAAGAGATTTATCTTAAGGAAATGGTTTATACAGTTGTAGAGGCAGGCAAGTCCCAAGTCTGTGGGTCAGATGTTAGGTTGGAGGCTTCTCCTGATTCACATTCTTTCAGCACTGCACAAGTGACCAACATCACCAGGAAAGACTGGAAGGTAAGGATGTGGAGACTTGATGAATCCAAGATCAACAGGTAAGACAGCAAGCAAGAAGGCAGGCTGCTGACTCAAGACTAAGAACCAGATATCAGATGATGAAAAGCCAGATGACGGTCCAGATGGAGTAAAACATCAGAAAGCTTTGTCTGAACATCCATATAGAGTGGACACAGGCTTCACCCTTGAAAGAACTCCCTTTCAACTGGCTAACTGCTCATAGTAGATCTCACCATGGAAATAATTACATTATGGGGGGTGACCACATGACGGCCCAACCAAGTTGACACACAACCTGAACCATCACAGTCTGTCCCTTGTCAACTTGGCACCTGAACATATGTCCTGAAACCACATGTGATCTCTAAATAAAGACAATTATAAAACCACACTTGCACCTAACATCATACAATTAACATATGGACAACTGGCAACACACTAGCCCTGCTTTGTATTTTGTAAGTGAAGGAAACAAAACCATTTGTTGCACACCTACAAAGAAGAAATACACACAGCATTATAGTCTTTGTTTCTAAAACTGGTCATGTGGTCATAGCTGGTATTTAGATCCACTTTCTCTGACCACCCATTCCATACTCCCTTCTCCCACAGCAAGTATCTCAAAGGGCTATGGTTCTTAGCCTGGTGGGATGACCCAGAATGTCATTCCTGAAGGATCTGGACCGTTAGTAATGTTGGAATTGGATTGCTGTGGTTCTCCATTGACTTTAGTCAAAAGGCATGGCAGTACTAAGGGACGCACCAAGGGATGTCCTGTACCCCACACTCATGTGTAGTACATTACCTCCATTATGTAATATCAATCTAATTTCTATTTGGTAATCATGATCAATCATACCAGCCAATACAGTAATTCCCTTCCTTGTTGACAATGGCACGAGGAACCCAAAGAGGCCAGGTAGCATTCTTCACTTCCAGTTCATTAGAATCAATGTTGTGACTCCCAGTGAGAGTCTACACTGTGCAGAGTAGGGTGTTGCAGGGACAGGAAGCAAACATTTTGTGAATGGATCATTA